GTGACGTAGACATGTGGGGCGTGTTAGAACGAGACGTAGGTAGACGTGGTTGACTCTTAACTTTTATAAAGAATATCTCTTTGGATTTGAGACTTTAGTCTTTGCAACTTTACAGATCTTCTTTATGCACCAAGAGCTTGTAACACTTCAAAGAGAAAGGAAAAATTGAAATCGCATCATATGACCCCTTTAAATAAAGATTTGTTCTGATAACTACACATCATTGTTGTCATGTACAACCACAAAACTCATAAACATCATAGAAATTACTATCTCCAACATAAGTGTTTCTCTTTACTGAAAAACTTTACTCTCCTGCTAATGCTAATGATTTTAACGAGTTATGTCCAAACACACCAGTTAAGACTTAGGGGGATTGAACATAGTTAAGTTGTGACAAAATGTTGTGTCGTGTTGCTTTAGCTCATTTTTATTTAACATTTTAACATCGTGCCTAAGTAAATACAGACAAATTCCTTAATTGTGTGTAGAGTCAGTCCCAAACACAAAACACAGTTAATAAAGTGCTAAACAATGCAATGTTTTGGTGTTTCTCACAAATGTAATGGAGAAATATGAATGCCAACAGCTCCGTGGTATCATTTTATGAAGCTTCTGGTCAGTCAGTGTCAGAGATGAGCAGTAATTTAATTAAATGTATTTGAAATACGTATTAAATTACTAAATACGTATCTTGTCATTTGTATTTTGCTGGGGGGAAAAAATCAAAAGTAATTTGTAATTAAATACTTTGAGAGACAGTGTTTTGTATTTGAAATACTTGAAATATATAATCAAGTAGTTCATTTTATTCTCAGATAATACAATATCTTTCTTCACCAAAAAAACTAGTGCTGTCAAACGATTAATCGCGATTAATCGTATCCAAAATAAGCTTTGTTTACATAATATATGTGTACTGTGTTTATTTATTATGTATATATAAATACACACACATACATATTTTGAAAATATTTACATGTATATACATTTATATATTTATATTATTATATTTTATAAATATATTTACTATATAAACATAACATTTGTCTTAAATATATACAACCATGTGTGTGTGTATTTATATATACATAATAAATATACACAGTACTACACACACATATATTATGTAAACAAAAACTTTTATTTTTGAATGCGATTAATCACGATTAATCATTTGACAGCACTACAAAAAACAATACGATTTATTTATTTAACACACCAAGCTTCTTATTTAAATTTCCTTGCATTTGTACGTAACACACATGTACACACAAATACCATATAATTTTTATTTTGTATATTGTGTTCTTTCAAAAAAAATGATATATTATTATTTCCTATTTACTTATTCTATATTTTATTATCTGTGTCTTGTCTTGTCACTGTCATTCTGTTTGTGCTGTGGAAGCCTCTGTCACCATTACAAACTCCTTGTATGAGAAAACAT